CGTTAGGTTTATTTTTAATGAAGATATAACAGAAACGTTTTTATGTTGCAAAAGTTTGGAAGGAAAAACAAACTGGAGAAAAAATATTCGAAGTAATAAATGAATATTTTGAAACAAAGTCCCTTACCTGGGCAAACTGTTTTTGCGGTTTTGTACTGATGGTGCTGCAGCATTAAGAAGTTCGAATAAAGAGCTCAGAGGCTTAATTCAGAAGGTGGTGCCTCATATGGTATTTAATCACTGTATGATTCATCGGCAAGCTCCTGTTGCAAAAGATATGGATGAAGAGTTGCACAACGTATAATAAGACGCTGTTAGTTCAATTAACTACATTAAATGCAACAGCCACAACAGCTGTCTCTTTTCAATACTTTGCAATGAGATGAGCTCAAAGTATGAGAGTATTACTGTTACACACCGAAGTCAGATGGCTTTCACGTGGGAAAATACTACGACGGATATTTGAGAAATGAAGTGTGTATGTTTTTAATCGAAAAGGAAACATAGATTGGCAAATTATTATATCAATGAAGTTTGGATAGGGAAGCTGAGCTATTTAGTTGATATTTTCGAAAAACTTAACGACTTAAATTTGAGCTTGCAGGGTGAGAATTCAACTATCATATCTTCAGCCAGTAAAATTCAAGCTTTTAAGAATAAGCTTAGTCTCCGGCAAACTGAACTGAATAAAAACAGCACCGATATGTTTCCTTGCTTTAACGATTTTATCAAGGAAAATAATATAGATATATTTACATTTAAAAACATCATTTCCAATCACATTGAAAAGTTAAAGGAAAATTTTTCGAGAAGATTCGAGGATTTTCCTGAAAACGATCTTGGTTGGATTCGTGATCCATTTTCCTTTGACATATGCAGTTCAACTCTTCAAATTAGTGAGAAAGAGCAATTGATAGATCAAATTAGTGATTATACTCTTCGAAATCAATTTAAGACTCAGCCTTGCCACAAATTTTGGCCTATCCGTGGAAAAACAATATCCCATTTTATGCAAGAATGCCATCCGAGTGTTAATACAATTTGCATCAACGTATTTATGTGAAACTGGATTTAGCAAACTAGTTTCAATAAAAACTAAATACCTACCGCTTGCGTTTAAACCCTGAAGATGATATGCGAATTGCAATTAGCAACATACATCCAAACATCGATGAGATAATTAGAAACTTGCAGCCACATACATCTCATTAAAGGGCAATTTACCTGATTTTTGTGTTATACAAAAAGTATTTTCTTAAAATTATAAATAAATTAATATGAGTCAGATATGATGATGTTTTTATTCGAAACGAAAGAAATGCACGAAATATACATCGTATTTGTGAACATTTATCTGTAGGGGTCGCCAAAAATTTCTCTCTACTAAAGGGGTCGCAGTCGAAAAAAGTTTGCGCACCACTGCTTTAGTGGATTGTAGAACCTTAATGTATATTAACTAAGTTACAAGCCCTGAAACTCTACACGAAGCTACGACACTAGCTCGTCAGACAGAGCCCAGCTAACTTTCAAAACTTGCCAACCGTGCTTATATCAGGCCTTTCAGGTTTGTTCTGATCAGCAGATCTGTCTCTAGGCAAGCAGAAGCAGTGACAACAACCAGTCTTTTGTTTTGAATCATGCTGAATGTGATTTTACATCTCATTTTAACCAATGACATTTGACATAAAATTTAACTTCTATTTACTAAACTTCTAGACTAAGTACGTGGAAAAAGAAGACATAAAGGAAAAAAAAAAAAAAAAAACCAATAAAAAGCTAACTGTTAGTAAAACGTAAATAAAATGTCCCTAATCTTCTTTCAAACTATATTCAAACTATATCCAACTATTAAACGTGTAAAGTACTTAATGCTACCTGATAAACTTTATAAAGTTGATTTTATTCTCAAATTTGTTTTATAGTTATGTTTATTAAATTATGTTTAATAAGAATGCATCCTACTTACGGATCTATTTTATTCTTAGAGTGTTATTACAAAAATGCAGTTCAGATATAAGTTGATTGAATTTTAATTCAATTTTTTCAGCTCCCATTTGCTGATAGGTCCTTAATTTTTTCATAAATGGTTCTTAAAAGTACTTAAATTCCATGTGCAGAAATGTGTACGAACCCTATAAAGATAATAAAAAATGACTGTAATACTGTGTATTACTTAACATATAGCACTTTCTAGAGAAATGTTTTTTTATTATATATATATTATATATATATATATATATATATATATTTATATATTTTATTTTTTTTTTATTATTATTTTAGCAAGTAGCATATAAATTTCGTTTTCATGATACAATGTATCAAAAATTTATTAAATATGATTTGCAGATATGATATTTATGTTAAAGTGGAAGCAAGAATTTTGTTTGTATAGATAGTTTGAAAAAGCAATTTCAACAATAGCATTTGTCATGTTTTGTGTAAAATTGTCCTTGTTTTGTTATTCACCATATGCTGCCATCTGGAATTTTCCTTCATGTTGCCGTTTTTTCTTGTGACAATTTTACATGCAATGATATCATTTTTGACTCTCTCTGTCAGTTTATGGTCTTCAGTGATCTCCAATTATAATGAGTTTTTAAAAAATATTTGCAAATATTTGCTGCAAAATTTCTTCCCTGATAAGTTCAAATCGACAACTCTTTTATTCAAATAAGATGCATTCATAGCAACACTACCACTTAGTATTTAAAGTACTAATTTTTGATGTAATTTCATTGTGTTGTAATCTACTTTTCATTTGACTTAATTCGTCAATGTGGGATTTGTATTTATTATGCTTTGTGTACACTTTTATTTTTTAAATTTGCATATACTATTTCATAAATATGTTGGATGTTCAGTGTAGCTTTTTGTGATTATTCTTCTACTTTTGAATTGCTGTTCTTGTTAAGTTTCATTCAAATATGCTTCCCCCCCCCCTCAGTTTTAAAATGCACTGGGATTCTGTTATTTGTCAGTCAACAAAGAATTACTATGTATAGAATTAAAAGAATACATGTCTTGTGTTCATTATCTTTAACCAAATAAATATCCATACAATATCTAACTTCTACCATATAGTTGAGTAATTGTACTCTAAATTTGTTCCACACTATTAGCTAAAATAACATGCCAAAAAATGAATGTTGGAAATACTGAAGCATCAGAAAATCAGCTTGCATAAATTTGCAGGACTAGTTTCAAAGGCTTGAGTAGAACTATCTTTGTCATCTACAGCTGAAGTCAAGTTTTATACAGATCTTCAGAACTAACTCTGCAAATTTATTCAACTTATTCCAATTCTTCTTGCTTCAATATCTCCATTATTCCATACTTTTGATATATACTACAGTACAAAGTCCGTAATCCGGACTCGTCGGGACTTCGGCGATTCCGGGTTATGGGTTTTCCAGATTATAGATCATCAATTTAAATCTGGTAAGATGGCATGCAGAAATTATACAAGTATGAAATTGTAATTTTTGAAATAAAGAACAATTATGATCTAAAGGGTATCAGAATTTAGAAAAAAAAAGCTTATTATTTATTTGACTTTATTAAACATTTCTTTCAATGCAAGTTGTTTAAGGCGCTTCCACAAAAAATTTGAAAAGTTCCTTTTTCTTGTGTCATATATAGTGGACTTTCCAATGCCTACTTCTCGCATAATTTTTGAGACGGATAGGCTTTTATCATTTTTTGCAGCAATTCCACTTTTTGTTTAATGGACAATCGAAAACATCCTTTTTGCTTTGTAGATCCTTTGGCAGCTCCAGAATTGGAAACTCTTTTTGACATAATCGAAAGTTCAAGCTTAATTTTTATAAAATTGTCCTAACAGTCTGCAAAAAATAATAAGCCGGATCCAATTAGAAGATTAAGGAACAGTGCAATCTGCAACATTAAAAGAAATGCCTTAGATAATTTTAGCCTAGCTTATACTGTCCATTATACATTAAACGCATGTGTAGACGTATTATGCGTTTACGCATGTGCATAAAGTTTGTAGCTTTGAAGTCCGGATTATGGACATCCGGATTACAGACTTTATACTCTACTTGAATTGCAAGTTATTTTTAAGGAATATTAAAATTTTGTCAATATTCAAATATGGCCTGATGAACATTCTTTTGATATCTCTGGAATGCTACTGAAAAATGCATTTCAGCTGTTACCAAATAAAATTATAGACATTATTCTGCATGTTATCATGCATTGCAATAGCTCTTCATAGCTGTCTTAGAATCTCATGGAATAAACACTCCACTGTGTTGCCACAGTTATTTGACTTGCAGGAAGAACTACAGGTCAGTAATCAGGGGTCTGTAATATTTTAATCTTGAGAATATATGACATGCATAAATCTGCATGCATAAGGTAAATTAATATTTAGGAGGATTACTTCCGTTTAACATCTTAAGTATTTAAATGCTGCCTTATCATCTCCCTACCCCTCCAAAATAAAACTGTGTTGGCACAGTACCAGTTTGAATTTCTTTCATTGAGAAAGCAAAAATTTAACCTGGAACTCAAATTTAAATCTAGATTATTAAAAATTTATAAAATTTACTCATCAGTTTGACGCATGCAGAGTTGCCAACTCTTCCGATTTAGGCAGGAGACTCCCAATTTCCGACCATACTCCCGCCAACTGGATTTAGAACATATTTCTCCCAACTTTCTCTTATTCTTAAAATTTTTCATAATTTTTATGTAGCTTATTACTTTGCACCCAAATAAGTCATTTTTGTTGTCTGAAAGTGCTTGGTTTGGTTTCTCTCTAGCTACATATAAAAGAAAACTAAAGTTGTTTCATGAGATATTGCACGCTTCTCCTTTGGTGGAGAGTCCAAAAGCTGTGTCTGAAAATGTTGTGTTCCAGTTCTGCAATGAGAATCAAGCACCACTGTCGGTCATCTGGCATATATTAGCCAATTAGCACATTAGCAATATTGAGGTTACTATTTCATTCATCTCGCTGGTGAGCAGCATAAGTTTCATGTGCTTCCAGGAAACAGTGTAAGAAACTACGATCTTTTGTCTTAGTTATGTTTGCAAAAAATGTAAAATACTCATGTACCTTTCAAAAATCACATGCAGATGGTTTTTCTTCTATTATTTTGTCAACGAAACATAATATATTTGGGATATGTACCATTTGTCTTTTCGATTTTGCATGGTGGAGGGGTTCATATTCTTAAATGTGCATACACAAGGACAATATGAGATATAAAAATTGAATTTTTCTGTGAAAACAAAAGGACCAAAAAGTTATGAATGCAGAATGTGAGTTCTGTGCCATTTTAGTGGAGCATAACCTGACACTAAATGCTTTGATTCATGCTACAGCTTTATTTAGAAAAATGTTGCCTGGCAGTGAAAGAAATACTCAAGTGAAAGAGCAAAAACAGCTGCAATTTTTGAAAAAATGGGATCAAGAAATTGGTATGAAAAATAAATCTTCAAGTATTGGTTCATTAAAACAGTTCCATTCTGCCATTTGGATGGAAGCAATAATACCAATGGAAAACTGTGTCCAGTTGTTGTTTCTTTCTTTTCTTTTTTTAATTCAGCGTCTTCAGAAATTGAGTGTGGTTTACTTTACTTTAGAAGGAGATTTGACAGGTTTTAATATATAGCACAGCTAATTATTAAAATTTTAAAAGAAGTGCAATTCTTCAATATAACTACTTGGCACTTAAAGCTGATAATGCATCAAGAATGGAAGGCTTGAATACTGATGTTGCAGGCATCTTAAAAAAAAATTTAAAAAAAAAAAAAATCAGATTTGCAAATTATGAGATGCACCTGCACCTTTTAAATTTAGCAGCTAAAAGAGGGGCAGCTTCTTCTTTAACCAATAAGCATGGATGAACACATTGTTGATATTTATTATTACCTTGAAAAGATTTCTAAAAAGAGGAATAAAAAATTAAGAAATAATTCCAATAGCTGCATAATAATAAAATAAGAAAAAATCTGAAACATGTATGTACACAATAGTTATCTTTTAGAGAAATGTATATTTAGAATCCTCAACCAATGGAACCCCACTTCTTACATTTTTTTAAGGAAGAAGTAAATGCTTCAAGAGTTAAGATGAAAGCTATATTGAAAGTTATAAATTACCTTAAGTAAAAGGAGATATAGTTATTACTTCCACTTTTCAAAATAGGTGGGAGAAAAAGTATTTTCTGCATCTGCAATTAATTTTATTGGCAATTCTCAAAATAATACTTTAAACTATAAGCTTAAAGCTCTCCCAAAATATAATATATATTGTTTTTAATTACATGGTAAGGGAAAATATTTTTTATTATTGTATGTTTTTCTTGTGAAGAAGGAATATTTATGTTTTTATCTTCAGACCTTAACAAAGCTTTTTGCTTTTTTTGTACATTCCATTTTGCCATCATTTGATGTTCTTAACACATGAATTCATATTTTGTAATCAATGATTACTGATCTGGTCAAAGTATTATTTAAATTTTCTTTCTATATATTTTTAGACTTTAAAATTTTTTTTTTTTTTTTGTCATTGAGAAATATCTCCTGATTTTTGAATGTCATAGCTTGGCAAGTATGTGCATGTTGTATGTTTTCCTTTCTGCAGAGTTTTAAGTTTGCATCAACAATATCATCGGCATTTACTGATATTGTTACTTTTCCTGTTCAATTTGTAAAACTTCATTTTTTTAAGTTATTGTGATTTTTTTTTTTTTTTTTTTTTTTTTTAATTATAGTTTTAAACATATATCTAAGCAGCGCATTTTTTCTAAAACAGTGTTCAGGAATACTCACGGTTTAATTCACAAAAAAGTAGCATAGCAAAAAAGTATCATCATATCACTCAGATCAGAAATAATTAATGCAGTCGATGGACAAATGTTCTTGCAAGAATATGTATTACTATTAATACACAGTTGACAGTAACTTCCAAGTAAAATGAGGCTGGAATCATGAGAGATTAACATCTTCACAATTCCTCTGACTACGTTTGGTGTTCATTATCAAATATCATGCTTTCAAAGCAGGAATTTACATACATTAAAAGCTGTAGTAAACTCAGAGGGGATGTGTGAAGAGCACATAAAAAAAATACAAATCATATAGCTATTCATAATGCATCTATCAGAAGTTCCAATTATTTTTTGTTAGATTCACAAAAAAGAAACTCGTACCTCTGTATCATCTCAGAGCTTCTATGTAGTATCTTTATGAAGCTTTATAGATATTTTAATGTGCTTGCTTTACTAAGAATTGTTTTTTAATCACTTGTATATGTTTTTTTCTCTAAACATGTTCTAATACGATAGCGAGGACTAAATTTCTAAACTGAAAGTGCTGTAACTGTATAACATGCCAATGGAAATGGGAATAAAAACTAGCTAAATAATAGCTAAAGCAACAAATAATGAAAAACTAAATAAAATGTAAAGGGATGAAAATATTAATAAATCAAGTTAATAATAATTGAGTAACTAATGAATTAAAATATCAAAATTTAAATGAAAAAGTTTAAATTAATAATAAATTAACATAAAGTCAAAAGCATTATGTGAAATAATTAAGGAAATGAAAGGTGAGTCCTTATTAATAAGACATGATATTTTATTTAACATTAGAGGTTTAATGCATTATCATGCAGAATTTTGAAAGAAACCGAGAAATAAGAATAAACATCTTTAAATTAAGCCATCTTTAAATAAAGAGTTTAAACAAAACCAGATAACCTTAAACTTAAATGTAAGCTTCAGAAAACTCACCTCTGCATGAGAGTAATGCCTAAAATGTAATAGTAAAGTTCCGCTAATTCAGTGCTAAACAACGAACACTTATTTCTTGCTATTTGAATTCTATGTGGAGATAGCATGCTGATAAAAGAAAAACTCGCCAAACATTTCAGGTTGCAGGAGAAAAAGAGGTTTCCCTTTGCTCATGAAGTAACATTATTTCATTAATGATGCTGATATATGGATTGCATGCAGAAGCAGAATTAGAGAAGAAATAGCAATGCACAACTCATTCTGTTTTGAATTTCTGCAGAACTGTATATTTAAATTAATTGCTAAGGATTTTGTTATACAAATGAGCTAAAAAATAATAATTCTTTTTATGCATTTAAGACGATGCCCTTGATTAAATTCAAGTACAGTTTCACAGTTCTAATCTTTTGAATAAATCTTTACTTATCCATTTAGTTTATATATCTTTACTTATCCATTTAGTTTATAAATCTTGCGCAACATTTGGAATAAATTACCAGCTTAGCTTCTGCATAAAAGAGTTAACTAATATGAAATTTAAATATATTAGAATAATAATGTATGTTTATGTGTCATAATGTAGTATTATTATTGATTCTTTGTTTTTGGTCAATAAGTAAACTGACTAAAAATTATATATTACTAGTACACTTCTATATTTTTTTAAATTTAAAGCTTATTATATATATCTGTTAATAAACACATAAACTACATTTTTTATTCATTTATACTCTTAAGGTCTGCTAAAATTTCAACCCAAGAAGCCTATTCCAAAGCAATCAAAGTTGCAAATTAAAAAAGATGTCCCCAAGAAAATGTTTCCTAAACATAGAAAAGAAGTTGAAGGACATAAATCTATAAAAATAAAGCCTAAATTAAAAGAAATTCATATGCCAACCTATATGTTCAGATCAACTCTAAAAAGTTTGATTCCAGAGTATTCTGTAAGTATCTTTTGATTGTTGGCTGAGTTCACTAGTCTTATTCGTATGCTTTCATAACCAAAAGTTCTGTTACAATATGTAAAAATGACTTTTTGAATTTACCTTTACCAGTTTTATCAAAAGTAGGGATGGGACATTATAATTCCCTTGAAAAGTTTAATTTTTCAGCATATGATTTGATCTAACCTAAAACTTAAAAATCCATTGAGAGTTATAACTTACTAGAAAGTTTAATTTTAGTGATAGCTAATAGAAGCATTCATTAGAAAAGTAACATGTCTTCAATAAACTTTAATCATCAATATTACCTTGTAGCATCCTTAAGTGCCACACTTTAAATTTTTTTGGAGAGAATTTAGTGTCCCAAATTTTTTATTTACCTATGTTAGCTCTTGAAATATAATCCTGTCCCCTTCTATACTTACATTTAAAAAGATTCCGAAAAATAAAAATGGTGAAAGGTAGTCAACTTTTTTTTTAATCAAATAATATGTAGAAATTCAAAATTCAGATGTTTTGATTATAAAATTCATTTACTAAATGTAATTTTTATTTTCTTAATATTTTGTGGATAGTTATATTTTTTAAAATGGTTTTGTCTAAATTTGCTTTTCTTTGGAATGATTTTATATTTTTCTAATTTCAAATTTTGCATCCACTTGTTTTTACTTGTTTGTACTTACTTTCACTTGTAAAATTTTGACAAAATTTATTCAAAAATCAAATTTTTTTATTAATGATTATTAAATTAATTAAAAAACATTATATTATTCCTTAAATTTAACAGTTTTTTTAAATATGTAAAATTTTTTATTAACTTACCTTATTTTACTTTATTTTTGGCTTTCCTCTGACACCCAAGTTAGGCAGATAAGCTTCAATGCGGGCTTTGAGTCTTTTGAGATTAAATTTTAGAGAGAAAAATCATGTACATTTAAGTAATGCATACTATTATCTGCAAATGGTGATGCTTTTATTCAACATCAATAATAGCTGTAATATTTTTTCAAAAAAATTAATAATTTTTCTTTGTATGGTAAAGTTTAAAACATGATATGCAGAGTTCCACATTGCAATCTTTATAATAATACCTCATTTCTCTCCGAATTCGTTTTCCATTTGAATTCTTGTTTGATGAACACACTTTACATTCTCTGGCAGGTTTTTCGTATAGGTTCCAAAAATGTCATTCAAATAAACAATTTGATGGCGCTTCACTTAATGGATGATCTTGTCTTGGAAAACAGATAAAAGTATGATATTTGCCAATTATTTCTTCGATTAAATCCAGTCTAAATTTTAAATGTTTAAATATGATTTTTACCACCTACTTTTTTTATAAACTTGAAAACGGCTTGGTCTAAAAAGTGAAAGAATATTTTTTCCACCATTTCATGCTACTTGATATCTAGAAAGGTATTAATCTACAAAATCCACACCTCCCATTGTTTTATTGTAATTAATTACTAACTTTGGTTTTTATTCAGTTTTTACTTTGGGTTATTACTTCAGCAGTTTCAGAATCGTGAAATGATGATAGCATTGTTTCTTCCTTTTTTGCTTTCATTTGAGAGCGAGGATTTTGCCACATCTAAATGATATGACTTCATCAGTTTTTAACTTTTTATTTTTCAATGCTAAACGTAAATACTTTTTGTTTTGTCTAACAGTTCCAATCACATCTGTTTGATAAGTCGAAAGGATATCACATAATTCTGGTGAAGTATAATAATTATTCAAAGTGATGCAGTAGCCTTGTTTCAATAATGGCATCATCAGAGCCATAACAACTTGTGAAGGTAATTTAGACATTGGAATTTAGGATGAAATAAAGTATCTTTCTCAGTATATATAATAAATGACCATATATAACCAGAACTAGATTCACCTAGCATGTATGTTTTGTTTCAAACTGTGCTTTTTATTCAAGGGTATGTATTGGCATCAGGATAAACATCCTTTGTACAACATCAGCACTTCATCTATGGTAATATCTCTTTCTGGAATAATTGTTTTTTGATTTACTTTATTCAGATGCTCACAGTTAAGCCAGATTTTGTAGAGTTTTGGGTTAGGATGATTTTCTGGATCATAAGAATCATTGTTTACAAAATGCAAGTATTTTTTTATTTCATATCGATTATATGACATAATCTTAAGGAAAAAAGGAGTTTCTGCTGATATTTTCTTAGTCCAATATATGCTTTCCTTCAGGTTTTTTTTTATAATACCTTGTAAAACTGAAAGCACAAGGAACAAATGCATTTCATGTGCCGATACCGGTTTCCATTCTCTTTTGCATTTCAGTTTCCTTTAACCAGCAGCATTACCTGATTGCTCAGCATAACAATTAGTCTCTTTTACAGTTATATCCATTGTTTCATCATTTATAAAATGCTCATACTATTGTAAAATGCCTGAACTGGCTTGAAATGATATATTAACTTTAGGCAATTATTTGAACTGAAAACATGGAGGACATATATGTGGGACATCCGGCATAATTTGGTTCCATTGGCATCCTGGTAAAAGTTGCACGGCATTGTCACTATCTTCAGAATCTAAAGTATCTGAAAAAAAGCTGCCTTCTGAATCACTTCCCAATCTTCAAGACTTGAATCCTCTTATTCACTTGAACTACTCATTTTACAAACATTAAACACGAAAAAGTGATGAGCACTGAAACTGAATCTTTTAAAAACATGTTCTAATGGGGAAAATATTCTGAATTACAGGTACTGTGCTGCCATCTGTGAACCATCTGTATAAATATAGAATTAATACAAGCACGTTAAAAATTGGTATTCCCTTGACTTTTTATTGCAAAAGCAGAGCCTGTGTGAGATACGGACGCGACGAGTAAGGGTTAACTGAAAATTTTTCATATTAAGAAAAATAATTTTATTTCCTTCAGTTTTTCCATTCAGCCATTATTATATGAATGATTTTAAAGATTCAAGATATTTTTAGAATTACAGTTTGTCACACCTCTATCAAAAGGCTATTCTGAGTGACTAAAATATGTAATAAAACCATCTTAATAATAACATCAGACTGTTCAAGCAATATTTTCATTTAGTGAGTGCACTGATATAATTTCTTTAGTTGAAGACAGCAATTCTTTGGAATCTATTTGTTCAAAATTTCGAATTTAGTTTCACCTGACAATAAATGCCTTCAAGCACTTTTTTTTTTTTTTTTTTTTTTTTTTTTTTTTGTCTTACCTATATTACTTAAAATTACTGTGTAATTAAAATACGTTAGTTTCTTGGAATATTTATTTGTATATTGAATCATCATAGGACTAGGTTAAACCTCATATATTGACCATTGTTCAATACCATTATTTTGTTTCATTGTTGTGCTTATGGCATTAAAATATTTATGTGAGAAAGCAAAAAATATGCATAATTTCATGTTACACAGTTTCATGTCTGATATCCTTTTGATTTTCATGTAAAACAATATTAAATGAGAAACTTCTATTTCCTTTATTTATTATTAAACATTCATGAATCATGAATTTAGCTTTCTAACCATTCCTGTTCGATCAATATGTATTTTAATAATTTTTGAAATAATTTTATATATATTAAAATTCTACATTTGAATTGTGTCATATTTCTATTAAAACATTTTTTAGGGTGAACAGTAACAATGATATATTTTTTTGGCCTTAGTAATCTAACTATTGTAATAGCATATATTTCCCAGCTTTTTGAAATAGAATTCTTTTCTTCATATCATGTGTCTATTATAGAATATGCCAGAGTTTCTTAAACCTATCACTCTCTTTTCACCCACGCTTTTCATGCTAGAATGTAAATGAGATAGCAAGCATTTATTCAGATTGAGAGAGAAACAAGTGCTATTTAAATGAAGGTTATTCAAGTTAATATCAGAGCATGTTCTGCCTATTCCAGGCCATGTTGTACCATGACTATTAGCGATTTGATTCTATTGCTTTAAGTGCTTCTAGCAATTTGACTTGTCTCATCGGTTTTATACAAACCAGGGCCTTTCCTGCATGTTACTTTTATCCTGTGAGCCATTAGGCTAATCTATTATATTTGATAATAGTTCAATATTAAAGCTAAGACAGAAATCTTTGGATTGTGTAAACCCAAGTTTGGTCATTGTTATTTTTTTGTTTTCAAATGAAAGGGCTATTTATATCTTTCTTCTGTCGACAGTTTAAGACGAGGATTATTCCTCTGTAGTCTTTCTAGAGCTTACTAGTTTATGCTACCAAAGAAAGTGAGACTCTAGAACCTTTATTTAAATATGCAATAAATGTATCAAAACTTATACGAATTTTCAAAATATTTTGCAATATACTAGCACAAAAGAATTTTAAATTATTATTTACTTAGGTTAAAAAAGTACTTATTTTGGTATAATTATGTAAAAGCCAAAAAATATTAAAAATTTTCTGTGTATGTCAGTAATTGCACAATATCTGCTTTTCAGTTTATAAATTTCTGATAAATAAAAGGTTGCTTAGAAGTCTGACATATTGCTGCTTTCATCCTTCCTTTCTTGAATTTTTTTTTTTTTTTAATCTTGTTTGTTTGTTGAAATATCATGAAAATATTTGTGTATCAATTACAAAAATTAGAACTATACAACAAAGGTTGAAAATAACATAAGAAGGATACAGTAAGAGAAAAATTAGGTAGAAAATTAACTAAATATACAGAAAATGAATCACAAATATATACAGTAAGGGTTGAGTGTATTATTTGTAAAGTCTTTTCCATTCTCAAAAAATTAGGAATAAAGCACTTTTTAATAATTTAGTTTAAATTTATGTTGTCCCCCCTTCTTTATTATTTTTCTTCTAATGCAGAATTTAAAAGATTAAATTCTGAACTACTATTCTGAATTTTCTACCTTCAACAATTCAGAAACTGATGTAATGCATAGCAAACAAAACTACATCCATGTATTTCAGAAACCTCAGTTAGATATGCGATATCTTTGAAATAAAAAAATATTCTAAAGTGAGTATGAATATTAAGAACCTTTATGCTTTAATATATATGGTGACAGAACTTGTGTTTGAAATAAATGCTGTCAAGTTGATCAAAAGATTGGTGAGGTGTAGTGATCTCTGGAAGATGTACAGTCGTACAGAGTGTAGGTTAAAATCCCAGCCTACCTTTTTACATGTGACAAATGAACTGTCTGATTTTATATATATATATATATATCCCTTCTTGTAACAGACAGCCACTACTTGAGATTGGTGTGTTTCTAAGACATTTGAAAGCCATGGTTCTGCCATCCAGTAAAAAATCCTATACTGAGACAGAATTGAGGATGGTAGCTTTAAACACTATTAGAGAAAGATTTCTAACAGTGCACTGGCTGCATGTGTATGCCGATGGTTCTGCTATAGGTACTAATAATAATGCTGGTGCAGGAGTTTACTCTTGGCATTTTAACTTTAGTGGGACTGTTGATTCAAAGTGTACCAACTATGATGGTGAAGTGGCTGCTGTCCAACTGGCCTTGACTAAAATTACTAAAAGAGATGATCAGAACATTGTGATATTTATTGATTTACAAGTCACTTTTAAAGCAGTTTCTTCAGTCATACTTTCAAACAATTGGTCTGTTCTAAATTATTGCCAACTTTCCAGATCTCAGAATTTATACTATTAATGGAAGTGTGTGAAGTTTTTAAACATTTTTTATTGTCAGACTCATAACTGAAAACATGTCGTTTCTTTTACTGTGCAAAATTTGATGTTCTGTCCAAAATGAAATTGTTACCACTTTAGTTTTTTAAAGAAAATGTTACCTCTTACCAGATTAGTTAATTGTCAATCTACAATCTTTCATCATTCATCTATCAAATTAATTATTGCCAGTCTATGGAAATATGTCTCATTTACTGCACTTCCTGCAATAAAAGAATGTCATATATTGTACTTACTGTAATTAGCTGTTATTATGCAGTTTGATTTATTTTTAGCTTTTGAGCTAGGAAAAATAATTTTTGCTGTTAGAATTTTGAAAATTATAAGACAAGATAGCTTTTAAACATTAATTAATTGTCTAGAATGTAATATTTGTAATAATTCTGAATGCTCTTAAAATATATTTTGTCATTATTTATTCTTGCCAATTTGTCTAAATCTTCTTGCAGGGTAGGCAGCAGATTCATGTCACTTATGATTTGCAGTCATTGAAGTACCTGGAAAATATAATATTCTTAATAGTTAATCATTTGTGCTCACTGGCTTCTGAATCTTCTCAAGTAGGAAATCTCCCTGAAATACAGTATTTAGAGTTAAGTGAGGCTGTCAAGGAAACCTTTCCAAATGCGCTAATGCAGCATGCACTCGCTGAAGGTTCTCGCTTTGTTAAGGAATACACAAATGGTATTTAAAAATTCCATTTATTTATTTTTCTACAAAATAACTGTTTCTGATGAAAATTATAATCAATAGCTTGAGTAATATTAATGAGTAATTTCTTATTTAGGTCTTTTTTCCCTCCCTTTTTAGTGTATAATAGGAATTTGTTTGTTAGTTAAGTAAAGAAATTTGTATCTAAACAATTAGGCAGAAATTGCACAGGAATTACATCGATTCCTGTGCAGTAATATCTAAAAATAACAACTTTTTGGCTGCTACATTATTAACTGGTATATTACAATTACTAGCATACAGACATCATTATCTGTCATTTTGTATGCCAGAATTCCCCTACCCCTCTAAGTCTAGATATTCTAAGTCAGATATAAAGCGACCCGATTTATTCCAAAGCTAGTCTCAGACATAACATTTTGGTAACCCTTGCCTTCTAAAAAAAGCTTGAAACATTGTCAAATGATTAACAAAACATTCAGTTGCCCAAATTTCGGGTGATTCGTTTTTTATCTGAAAAATGACAAGAGAGCACTGTTTGTGATGCTGATTATACACAGTCCTAGGCGAGTTCCAGTTTGTATTGTTTGTGCTTCCATATAAGAACAAAAAAAAAAATAAATGGGTAAAATTTTTGCATGTACTCAATAAAAGAAATTAATATTAGTTTTTTAATTTCAAGTTTCACATTTCAAAGACTTTTCCATACTTTATAATTTTTCAAGTTTTAATTTAAAATTTTAAAAATTTTCTCTGTCACTTTTTTTTAAATCTGAAATTTTTAGTTAAATAAATTGTGCAATATTTTGTGCTTAGGAAAATGGGAAATTAAGAACTCAGTGAAGTTATTATTTATATTACTGTGGTAGGTGAATGTTTAAATTGGAAGGAAAAACCATACATAAGCATATAAATAAAAAGGCTATTTGTCTCAAAAGACAATTTAGCATTGTTTCACTTTAATGCATTGTTTCACTTTTCATTCACCTTTCATTTACCCTCAACTGTTAAGTAAATGATTTCATAGTTCTTTTCATTTTTTATCAATAGATGGCACCAGTAGCTTCCTTTCATTATTATTGCTTTTGTACAAACTTCTGTTTGATTTTCACTTTTGCAGCTGAAGAAAGTTCTACATATAAACCTTCGAAACTAGTCTTTCAGGTTTATAAATATTATGCTTATTCATCTTGCCTTAACACCTCCAATAATTAGTGCATTATTATTTTTTTGTTTAATAATTTTTTGTTATCAGATTTTTATAAATAATTAAATTTTATCACTGTTTTTGAGATTATAATTATGTTTGAGTTTCATGTTTTAATTTTAGAATAGAATACTTTGTACAGATTTTCTTACATCTAAAATATAAATTTATCTTCTTAATTATTAAAAGCAGTCTATTGATTACTAATCATATGCTGAATGCTTTTAACTATCCTAACTATATTAAATGTCATTTGATTACTTTTTACTGAGATACTTTTTATTCAGTTTTGCATGTAGTGAGGTAGTATCAATCTTTGCTTTAGGTTTGCTAAACTTTCATCCGAAGAAACCTGCCCCAGAAAGATTAAGTACACAGCATGTGAAACAGACAACCAAGAAAAGAATTCCTAAAACAAATGAGAAATATTCTAAACTAAAATGGACAGAAAAGAAGTCTAAACCTAAAGTTCGATTGCCAACAGCTATGTTCAGATCTGTTCTCAAAGAACAATTGTCTGTTTTTGCTGTAAGTATTTTTATTTTTTAACATGATTGAATAACTGTTACTACTTTTTGTAATAAGTCATTGCATTTTTTTTTATTAATTTACAGCATCTTTTAAATAAAAGTTTATCAGAATTTTATAATGATTGCACATATTGTTTCCAGGTCAATTTTATATAAGGGTCATGTAATAGGTAATCGGCAGTTAAGTATGTAGTCGTAAAGCTATCAATTCACCAAGATCTAGTGCTGATTCCTGTAATCAACATTTTCTCTTTTACCAGATTTTAGTAGATTTCAAAATCATAATGCTGCAATGCAATCCATTTCCTTCATAGAATTTTAAAAACTTTTATGAATGTAATACAGGAATCTTGTCAGTGTGATTAGCCAAATTCCTTCATTAGCATTAAAGACCTCATTTACACAAAATTGTTTAACTGATTTAGTATTACTTTTTCAAATGTTTTGTCACAGCAAAGGATCTGATAAAACTCTTTTTAAACACAGAATATGAATAATAATATGCTGCCATTCCTATTGAAAAGCACCGTTTTTCTTGTTACTTTTATAGTTTTTTGGAGATAAAACTCTGCATTGATTACATAACGATTGGTATCCACAACATATAGAAAGACAATAAAAATTACACTATAGGGGAGTTCAAATATTGCATATACCAACACTTATATAATTTTGTTTTAAAAGAGATTTAATAAATGACTAATTATATGTTAACCTAAAGAAATTTAGGATTTATTCTTATGATAAAGATTGTCAGGGTCAACAAGTTTTCTTCATGGTGGATAAAGCCATAGAAAAATCAAGGGAGATTTTTATTTAAAGGAGAAGAAATCAGGTTTTGTACTTACTTATATTTTATTCACATGTTGCATTATTTTATTGCTAACAATTTAAATATATATGTAATTTAATTAGCCTCATCTGTATGTGTGCAATAATCATTTTTGGTAATATTTTTACAAACATAAAAAATAAACTTGCTAAGTTAGCAGAAACTACAAGTATCTAATGTAATGAATTTCCCTCATCTAAAGCAAACTGAACCTACATTTTAATTAATACAAGCAACAAGTAGATTTGAATGAGTAAGTTGAAAAGTAAAGAAAATTTGTTCTAATTCTCTTGAACTCAAAGAACACTTAAAAGGAATTGCAGCTGCATTCCAGAGTTCACGTAGAATTTCAGGAAATGCATGCATTTCTTTGCACAGTGTAATAAGATTTAATGTGTTATGATGGCATCAGCAAAGTAAGAATGTTGGAAATTATACATTTGAAAAAGTTTTTAAGCCATTTTTAAAACTTTTCTGAATTGCAATCATCATACAGTACAAAATCCGAGATCTGGATGTCCAATATTCGGAATGATCTAAAAATCTCGACCTCAAAGCCACAAACTCTCTCTCTCTCTCTTTTTTTTTTTTTTTTTTTTTTTTTTTTTTTTTTTTTTTTGTATGCCTTACGCATGTGAATTTGATTTTTCCTTCCATAGTAAAAGCATGTGGAGAGTCCAGATTCTTAACTTTACTTAGATAGTAAATAAAATACCTCGTTATTGAAGAAAGAATCATGTAAGCATAAATTTGTGAGATTAATAATTTGTCTCTGTAGCTGCTTGGCATACATCCGAAACTAAAACATTCTATATAGGAATAGCATTGATTTTACACCTACTAGTATTTTATAAATCATTTCATGCTCGAGGCTTGGCAGAATTTGGTTGGTTTATCTGATGACGCAAAAATTGTCCTGATTGTAGACAATTGTTTGACTCGTACTAGTTTTAGTGAAAAATAATTTATCTGTATTATTTCCTCCAAATTGTACATCTATCATTCAGCTTATGGATATTGGAATAGTGCATGCACTGAAATTCAGATATAAAGTAGAATTTTTAAAGTACATGTTAAATTTCTTGAATAATGGCAAGACTGTTCAAAGATTTTTGAAATATTTTAGTGTAAAAATCTGCTTTGGGGAGCATCGTAAAATTGTGGGAGGATGTTTGTCTCCAGATAATTTTTTAAATTCTTGGCATAATTTATGGCCAGCTACTATATTTCATGGTGGGGATGATGAATATGATAGCCGGGAATGTCAAGGCTTTCTGATATCACAAATTAAAGGTAAAATTTTCCAATTAATAGATTGTGTCAAGAAATATGGGGAAGCGGTAATAAATGAAGATGATATAACAGAAATGTTTCATTGCAATGACATTGCCCCAATCATCAATCAATAACCGAATGGCAAAATCTGTAGTATGATTCTAGATCCAGAAAATACTGCTACTTGTAAGTGACAGAGAGGTTACTGAAAATGAAAAGATTTTGATTGACAAGTTAGTCGGAATTCTTGACGCAGCAATTACAGGACTTGAACAGTGCAACTTTGTAATTGAACAAGAAATTATGTCTGTTTATAGAATTAAAGAGAAAGCATTAGCACAAAAAATGAAGCAACTTAAACGACTTACATTGCAAAAAAATGTTTAATAAAGTAAACAAATAACTATTGAGCACTTTTTTCTGTGTGTGTGGGAATTTGATACCTTTTAGACCTTAAATGCTCTTTATTTCATAAATTACGATTTCATATTTTTAATTGTATAATTTATGCATGCCATCTTACTAGATTTAAATTGATGATCTAAAATCTAGAAAAATCCCAAATCTGGAATCGCCGAAGTCCTGAAGAGTCCGGACTTTATACTGTATTTATATTGAACAGCCTGTTTGAGGTTAAAAAAATTATATATCATATCAGTAAATAAATGAGAAATCAACTGCAGTTTTTAGTGGATTTGGGGAGGTGGGGTTATTTTGCATTTTATTGTAGAAATAAAGTATTTGTTGTCAAAAATGTTACACGATATTAATAAGTACATATCTACCAAAAGTATTCTGCTTTTTGCAGAATGTAAGAATTCTATTGTTTTACCTCCATTTCAGTAGCATATTCAAAATTATGTCTTTGGGGAGTAGGGTAAGCAGGTGTGATGAATATGGAGTTAGATACAGTTCACTTATACTGTGCCATATATTCTTTGCTACTATGCTTTGAGGTTTAGCTAACCCCTTAGCACACTATAGAAGTCTAACTGCTAAATATAAATTTATGATTATGTTTTTTCTCAGTTTGCTAATAGATGACAGTAGTGCTTATTTATAAAAGGAACTGTGATTTCGTAATTATGCATCTGAGTAGTTCATCTTTTGTTCATAATAAACGTTGAATAGAATAATAGTCTAGAATAACGAAATTTATTGTAAAAGGTGCTCCTTGGTGGAGCAGATTCTGGGGATGTTGGGTAAGATCTGTAAAATCTTGTTTAAATTATATCTTTGGTAAAGCTTCTGTATCTTATGAAGAACTGTATACTGTTTTAGTTGAAATTGTTATCAGTTCTAGACCCATAACCTATGTATACAAGGAAACAAATGAACCTGAACCTCTTTCCATATCTCATTTTATAACTGGATCTAGACTGACTGTTTTACCTTCATCTGAATCTAAATTAGAATCAACAAGATCACAGTTGATTGGAACCATAGGCAATTACTATTAAAGTGTTTTTGAAAAATGTTTTAAGAAGAATATTTTCTAGAGTTAAAATCAGTCATGTTTTCAAAAACTCCAAAAATTTTTCTCATGTTTAAAATTAATGATGTTGTGCGAGAAGATAATGTTAAACATTGTAATTGGGAGTTAGGTATAATTGGTATTCAGAAATTATTTCCTGAAAGAGATGGTAGAATTAGATCATGTGTGATTCAGTTGGATAAGGGTGTTAGAAGACCAACTGGGAGACTTTATAATCTTGAAGTTCAGTAAAATTGATGGATCCCTTTATGAATGCATGGGAGGGGAATGTTAAATATAAGTTTATGTTTTCTCAGCTTGCCGATAGGTCGCAATAGTGTTTATTTGTAAAAGAAACTATGTCATAATTATGTATACATAGTGGTTTGTCTTTGATGTTCATGAATAAATATTGTGTATAATAATGCTCTCTGTTTCTCATCTTAAATTTGATCCAGTCTGATTTATTAAGGACTTATACATTTTCTTCATTTCTGCCCATTTCTCTGCTTAGTTGCCTTTTCCTCTGTATTATACCCCTTTTTTCCCTGCAATAGACTCAGCCTGGTCAGTGTATTATGTTTCTATGTTTCACTGTCTGAATTTCTTTGAGTTACGAAATGCTTATTGAATTGCTTATTATTTTATAACTTTTTTATTGGGATATAAAAGTATACAAAATCTGATATTCTATTGCTTTCATAATATATTTAAATTTTATAAACATATTGTTACAAAAATTTTATTGTCAAACATATTATAAAATACCTTTTTTGTTAGGGTAGAAGAATCACTGATGCCAAATTTGATTCACATTCCTTGAAGTATGTGGAAGATATTCTGTTTGCATTAGTTGAAAATATATCTTCACGTGCTTTTGAATCCTGCCAAGCTCAGGGTATGTCTGTTGTAAGACAATTAGAACTAAGTGAAATTATTGAAGACACATTTCCAAATGAACTGATGAGGCATGCCCTAGCTGAAGGTTCTCGCTGTATTAAAGAATTTACTAATGGTAATATACCTTCCTAATATTTCTATTAAAATAATAACTCACAGTTTATTCATTCACTGTCTGTTAATTCTGATGGCATTCATTTAATAGATAGTTACTTTTGTTAAAACCAAATTGCAAGTTTTCATTATGTGTAATGTAAATATGACTCATTCCCCTTTAAAAAGTTCTTCGCAAGAGCATTCCTTTCCTTAGGTAGGAGTCCTAGCAGGCCTTTCTTTCTAACTAACAAGTTAAGTTTCTGTGAATGTGAAAAGCTTCAAGAAAATTTAATTCACCAATGGAAGAAGTTTTTAGGATCATTTTTGCAGACATAAAGTCAAAATTATGATTAAATTCCCAACTATAATTAGCTATATTGTTATTTTGCCTTTTCGGACATAAGATTCGTGTTCTTTGATATGATCCTTCAACACTCTTTCAGTTTGGCCGATATATCTCAAACCACACTGACACGATATACTTTAAATTCCCTAAGAATTAAAGTCAGAAATGAAATCTTTAAGAAACGAACTATAGATTTTATTGATAGACAAGAATATGATGAAAAATGAACTTCTAGGGAAACCGTACAATTTTCTAACTAACAGAAGGATGAAAGGGAAGCACATCAAGATTAATGTTATTTCGAACAATGGAAACATCTTCTTTGATGGCAGGCTGAAAAGTTTTTAAAAGCTCTATCAGCGACCATTGGAGAAAATCCTCAGTCAATGGCAACTGATTTCAAGTAATTGAGTTCATTAGCAAGCAATGGTTCTGAAGAACAATCTTTGAGAGTGTAAAATACATAATAGTAAAAGGAAGCCGTTTTTTGGTTAGCTGGGTAACATGACTTAGCATGGGATTGGTAAACAAACAGAAAAGGGTTTACAGCAAACAGAATCATATTCATTGCAAATTATAAGAATATCGAGGAAGGGAAGGGTATTGTCTGATTCAGCTTCAAAAGTGAACTGGATGGTAGGATTAGTCAAATTTATAATGAATAAAATCTGGATAGATTTTCTTTTACCATCCAAAAGTGAAAAAATATCATCTATGTAGCTAATCCACAGACAAAAAGATAGTTTCTTAAATAATTTGACTTCAAGATAGTGCTCATAAATGTCAGCAAGTACAGGGCTGAGAGGATTACCCATAGCTAATCCATCAATTTTGCAAAAATAAAGCAAAGTGATTTTGAGCCAAGGAGTCTTGAGTAAGAAAAATAAACTCTTCAATTTCTGTTCATGTGAAATGGAATTCTTGTAGCCTAGCTTCAAGAAAATTTTAGTGCTGCTTCGACTGGAACTTTAATAAACAGGGATTTAACATCAAAAGAAACAATAATGGCACACAGAGGAGAAAAATTTTAAACTTTATCGATAATTTCAAAAGACATTTTTACAGTGTTAATATTATTAGAAAGTAAAGAAGAATATCTGGAACAATTGGAAATAATAATTTTGGAATGACATGATTTAGATTGATATGTCATGAATAGTTACTATTTTTAGGACAAAAAGGGAAAATACTCAAATTAAAATGAAGAATAAATGGGCTTTTGCAAAGTTAAAGTTAGTTGTTTGCTTATATATGTAAGACAAAAATATGTAAATCAGCTTTATAATTTAATTTAGTAATAGTCTCTTAATTCCTCATTTTTAATTTTGGTATTTTGCCTCTGTATTCTAAAAATTATAATAACTGTTCTCGACTGTGCCATTTCTAGATTAATCTATGCCACAGTGCTTGCGTAACGCTGATGACGTGACTTAATTCGGAACGTAAATTCAAAATTTTGAGAACTAAAACCTTTCTGACCTAAACCAAAACCTTCTTCTTGGTGATCTTCTATATTGGATATATGCACATTTTGCTTCGACTTCTGTGCTACTTGGGCACAATTTTGCTGTACTCTCTTCCTATTGCAATAGTATTAAAAAATGTAAATGTCCTGGAATTAGATATGATTAAAGTGCCAAGTGAATTGTTGCCACAAATGTGAATTTAAATAAAAATGGAATTTAATCTGCCTCAACTGCCAAATTTCCTATTCATTATGGATTAGCATTCTACGCAATCAGAATTCCTCCTCTTCAGTATGGATGGATCTAGGTTCTATACCAAGCAATATTTGCTATGTCTTTTACTACATTTTTCTCATTGCATATATATATGCTATGCTATAACAGTTTGCTGTGGATATCATCTAATGATGTTTGTGAAATACTAAAACTAACAAATTATATCTTTTAAATTTTAAATACAGTGTATTATAAATAAATAAAGAATTACTTTACTATGCAGAACTATCTTTGTGTAACTCTGTACATGGTTAGCTATAAAATTATTTTTCATTTTTCACCTTCCCTTCTCTCTCCCCCCCCCTAGATTTTATGAATTACAAACATCAAGAATCAGCATTTAAAAATAAGACTTATTTGAGAAATTTAGAGGGGAGAATTGCAGAGAAGAGCCAGAAACGGAAAGCATCTTTTCCATTGACCATCCTTAAAAAGCAAATGAAAGAAAAGTTAGTGAAGGAACCTGAACAGGATTTCGATGTTGTTATGAATAGCTATGTTACAGGTAGATAAATCTAATATAATTTCTAATAAGGTAATTATTATCACTTTTCTCTCCTATACTTAACATAGACTATTTGTAAACTTGTTAACTAAATATTTAGGTACAAAGCTATGTAATTTAATGAACCTGCAGAATTTACACAGAATTCCATAATCATTCCAGATTTTGAAGTTATTGAACTAAAAGAGCAACATGAACATGAAATTCCTTGAAAATTCAATACTGAAAAGTTTTGTGAAACTATTTTTATGTTGTGCTTAATCTATAGAGAAACCTTAAAAATCTTATTCTTATCTGATAGTTTAAATAATGTATACAGTCAAAAGTCGTTAATTCGGACACCCATAATTCGGAATGATCTATAATCCGGACATCAAAACTAAAAACTTTCTGCGCATGCGCCACGTTGACACATGCGCAGAGGCGTTCACGCGTGCGCGTAAGACCTTTTACGACTGCGCATATGAGTATGCGCAAGTGCAGAATACGTTTTCGCGTGCGCATTTTATGTATAATGGACGTATAAGCTAAAATTATCTAATTATCTATTTCAGTTAATGTTGATGATTGCGTTGTTCCTTAATTTTCGAATTGGCATCCGGCTTATTATTTTTTGCAGACTGTAAGAGCAATTTTTAAAAGTAAGCTTAAACTTTCAATTATATCAAATAGAATTTCCGATATATATTTGCTAATATGTAAAGGATCTAAAGCGAAAGTATGTTTCGAAATCCGAAATCTGTTTATCAATTTCACGCAGTTCGGCGGGGGGAATGCCTCGGCGCACAATGAATTGGAAGTTGATCTGTCAGCACTATCCTTATCTTCAAGGCAGATGTTTTTATTTTATTTGGCTTATAATTCCTTACTAAATGTAGTATTTCATCTTCGATGCATGCTCCGTCTTTGATATGATTTAAAACAAGTTCCTCGTCATTATAATTCGCTTCCGATAGTCGAAGAAAAGTGACAGAGGTTATTGAAAACGAAAAAATTTCGATTGACAAATTAGTCGGTGTTCTTGACACAGCAATTATAGGACTTGAACAGCGGAACTTTGTAACTGAACAAGAAATTATGTCTGTTTAATAGAATTAAAGAGAAAGTATTATCACATGAAACGAAGCAAAACTTAAACAACTTACATTGAAAGAAATGTTTAATAAAGTAAACAAATAAATATTAAGCTTTTTTTTTTTTGCAAATTTTGATACCCTTTAGATCATAATTGTTCTTTATTTCATAAATTACGGTTTCATATTTTTAATTTTAGAATTTCTGCATGCCATCTTACGAGATTTAAACTGATGATCTATAATCCGGAAAAATCGATAATCCGGACTCGCCGAAGTCCCGACGAGTCCGGATTAACGACTTTTGACTGTATACCATATTTCCTGCCATGTTTTTTATCTCTCTTTTTTTATTACTAATTTTATTATAAAAAAATCAAGAGGGGGAATTCTGCGAATTTTTTTATTTCTGAAGGATGCAGTTACAATAATAATGAAAAGTAATCATGGGTGACATTTAGCTACAGGTAATTTTCACAATATAATTTCTTTTAAAGAAATGTTCCAATAATTAGGTACTTTGAGTTAAAATAAATCAAATAACAATTATTGGAGGATTTAAAGCAATAAGAATCAGCATAATATTCATAAATTTGCAGGATTAGTTTCGAAGGTTTAAATGTGGAACTTCCTTCTTCAGCTACAGAGGTGCAAATGATGAAAGAAAAGCCAGTGATAAGATAAAAATGGAAGGGAGGAAGTCAAGCTGTTTGTGCCTCCTATTGATGAAAACGAAAGCAACTATGAAATAATTTCCTTAAATGAACTAAGGGGAAAGACAGATCGGAATGGGAATCATTAACTAGGAGTGAAAGATTTTTATGAATGTAATAACACTTCTAGAAAATCTAATTTGCTATCAGAAGATGTTTTTTTAAATAAATTTGGCTAAAGAAAAAGGGAAAATTTTCTGACCAACTGTATTGGGCAACAGAGGATTTATGTGTTTCTTTTTTCCTAACATATGCCTCATACTTCTTAGCACAAAATTTTAAGACTTTTTCAGTTTGACCAATGGAAATTAAACCACATTGCCAAGGAATGCTGTATATACCCCTAAGAGTTCATAACTGGAATGGAATCCTTAAGTACAGAACTGCAGATTTTATCGACATGAGAAAATTACCTGAAAGTTGAAGTTCTGTAAAATACATGCAATTTTATAGCTAGATAGAAAGAAAAGAAGGGTAATAGAATTTTTATAATCTCCTAAAATGAGAGGATTCATTTGGATTTTTTTTTTAATTGCTTGGTCAATAATGTTAGCTAAAAAACTCTCTCAGTAGCAACTGCTTTTTAAGTAATTTGGTTCTTGATCAAGAGCTGATTTGGAGGAGCAAATTTGAAATGCTCAGGGTGAATGAAAATAAAATGACTTCTGTGTAGTCAAATGACATAATTTGGGGTGTGGTGGAAGGTAAACAGATGTTTTAATAAGTTTAGGATAAACAATATAACTGAAGTTGGATATGTTGCATTTGACCAAAATTTTGAGGAAGATGTTCTAGAAGAGCATTAGCAAGAAAATAAAAAAAGGGGGGAATTAACCTCATCTTTCTTTTAAGAGTCTAGTTTGTAGGGTTGAACATTTGCAGAAATCAGAATGATATTTTTGATTATTTATCAACAGGTACTGGCCAATACGCAGGTATCTTTTTTTTTTTTTTAAATTAAAACAAAGCCATTGAAAGAAAGTCACACCAAATGAACTATTTCCTTTTTAAAAAAAATGCTCAAATGAACACATTTACCTGCTCTTTTTTTTTAATACATCGGGTCAGTCCATAAGTTCGTGCACATTAAGAGTATGCGTGGAATTCACTATGACGCATTTACTAAAACAATACGATTTTGAACCTGTTGAAACTTGTCATCATTTGAGTAACATATTGTTCAATTTATCACCAACTTTTGTAAATATCGAACGCATTTTAGTACCCATAGCAGATGAATATAGATAATCAGTACAAACGTACTATGTTACATTTTTTATTTTCGTGAGCTGAATCTGCCAAGTTTGCTACTATAAAAATATAGTATACATGGTGAACACACTATTAGTGTAAGGATTGCCCAGAAATGGTTTTAAAAATTATAGGTTGGAAAAAGCAGCATTAACCTTTTCGTGACGGCGCACCTTTGTTTAAGACGCTCGTGCGGGACAGAAGAGAATCGAAGGCAGTCGCCGTACAGGATGGAGGTTTGCATCGCTAAGCCTAATTTTATAAAAAAAAAAGATCAGAAAAAAAAAAGTTTTGCTTCTAGCATCGTAATTTTTTGTATTCTTTTAGATTATTACTTGAGCTCTTATATATGTTAAAATTAGCACTTAATAACATTTTTTTCTTTATTTTACATGAAAATATACTTAAAAAATTGCTTGTCTTGTAAAATAATTTTCGGGAGCGCTATTCAAATTATTCCAAAGTTTTAATTGATAAAATCCATCAATAAAGTTTTAAATTAATAAAACAACACAATAAAGACTATTTACAGTAAGAAATAACAAAATTTAAAATGAAGACTGTGGTAAATCTCGAAGTACGGAGAAGTATCACTTTCTAATTCTTAGAAAAAGTATCACTTTCTAACTCTTTAGAAAATGAATCATCACTCTCATCTGCGGTAATAAATGGTTCATTGACCATACGAGGCTATTCTTCCTCTGATAAATAGCACCTTTCCGCTATAATAGGCTGGAGGTGGGGCTTTTCGAAATAAAGAGAGCAGAAACGGAAATATATCTGAAGGGCAATGCAAAACGTAACAATACTCCACATACTAATCCTAAAAGACCGTATATAGTGAAGAAAAAAAGGAATTGGATATAAATCAGACACGTGAATGTTTTCATTAGCACGCAGCGATTTAAAGAGCTCACCTCTAAATACCAAAGTCAAGCAGAATATATCAAACTCAAGGTCAGGAACTTAAAACTGTGTTCATTTCAAATGTAATGGACATAGGATGCCATTTAGTGGCCTTCAGAAAAACGTTCCAGCTTAAAATGCGCATACGCATCAACCGTCCTCTGAATGCAATCTCTAGTGATGCATGGATGGGATGCCCGGCTGTAAGAGATGTTCTTAGGGAATACGTATATGGGACGCCCGTCCTGAAAGGGTTAATGATGAACCCCGTTCAGGACATTTTGATATGTTAGAACCAAATCAAACGATTAATTCAGAAGTTTATAGTGAATAACTTTGCTGTCTAAACTCAGAATTGATCAAAAAAATGCCCATGATTAGTGAATATCAAGAAAGTCTTGTTTCATCATGATAATGCTAGACCGCATATGGCTCGAACAACGTGGCAAAAAATTAGTGAATTTAATTGGGAGCTTTTGCCACATCCTGCTTACTCCCCAGATATTGCCCAAAGTGATTTTCACTATCTCATGCCTTACAAAATTTTTTACTGGGAAAAAAATTAAATTCTAAACAGGATGTACACTTTCAAGTTTTTTTGCAACTAAACCAGAGTCTTTCTACAGCAATGGCATAAAAAAGCTGCCTATAAGATGACGAGACATTATAGATAGTTTATAAGTTTTAGATATAGATTATATTATAGACATTATAGATAGTTTATTATACATTCACATAGTTTATAAGAAAGGCCACCCAGACAGTATAGTGGTTAGGGGAGCCAACTGCGATACCAGAGGGCCCAGGTTCAAATCTCAGCGAAGGCATGGATATAAATTATCTGTCCCTTCATAGGAGGTAATGGTGGCCACCTATTATGTACTCCCATAATAAAATGGTAACCACTTCTAGTCTTAGTAGCGGCAAAAGCTTAAAAAATGGCTAGTGCCCACCATTTAAAAGAGAAAAAGCTTATAAGAAATTTTTTTATTAAATATTACATTATATATTGTCACATGGTTTATAAGGAAAATATTTTCTTTCATTAAATATTAAATTCTAAACTGCCACTTTGAACTGTGTTTGTTAGATTTTCAAGTTTTTAAAATGACAACACAGTATATGGGAGGATATTTACAAAATAATATCTCCGTATATTATATAGATTTCTTTTCATACTTCTGTTTTATCTTTTATTGACAGTTTAGCAAAATTATCTAATATCTGTGTAAATTATATGTAATTATTGAATAAATCTGTGTGTTAAGGAATTAATTTCTTATACTGCATATGATTAATAACAGTTAAATTTAAATAATGCAAATTGAAGTTCAGAAGTTATTTCTGACCAACCGTTTTCCTATCAAAATTCAGTAATACAGACAATAAAAAATTCAAAACATTTCAATGTGATTAAGAAAAGTTCTGAAATTCTTAAAATTTTATAGAAAACCATACTTAGATTAAATGTGGTACTTCTTTCAGTTTTATGTAACTATAAATTGATGCTAAAAGAATGTAAGATTAATGCAATTTTAGCTTTCTGAAATTTATTGATGAAATGATTCTCTTTTTCGACAGATGTGCTTGAGATGATTGTTGCTGATAGTGTTAGAAATGCTGAAAATAATATTGTTACTTCAGATAACGTTAAAGAATCTATGCTTAAAATTTTCCCAGGCGAATTTGCAAGTCAGATTTATGCTGTTGCATTTGATAATGTGAGTATGTTTCCCAGCTTTAAAGTTTCCATAATATTCTTTCAGATGCTGATAGTTGTTTTATTACTGATAAGATACAGGTGAAGAAATCCTTTACTGTGAAACAATTTTAAGCATTTGCTGATATCACATCACTAAAGGCATTTTATGCTATTTAAAATTACTTATATAGATTTTGTGAAGCATACTGTGCTCAATTTTTCATTCAAAGTAATTCTATAAGGTAATTGAACTAGTTCATCTCCATGCTAAATGGTCATTAATTTAATAAGATTAATTATTATTATTTAAGCAAAATAAATATTTTATCATTGGCTGTTTCTTATTACATCCAAAAGAGATTATCAATAGTTCTTATTATGGGGCTAAAAGTTTTATAATTTCTAATTTTTCTTTTACTTAAAATTGTATTGATTTTACTGAATGCATTCCATTGCTACACCTACAAATATTTCAACAACATCTGCAATAGCAATATTCTAAAACAACTATATGAAAAGCATCAAAAATACAAAAACATTGAAGATAAAAGTATCTGTCTCATAACATGGGTTATCTAGTATGTTAATTCCCATTCTTAAATACGAATACCAAAAAATAGTTATTGCCTGTAACCATAAGCAAAATGCTTCCATTCCTCATAACCTAGTTGATTGTCTTCATTGAAGTAATGTAACCTAATCTTGCAAATCGCATTTACTCAAACATCCATGTAAATCAAATGGTTGCAAGGTTATGTCTAACCATTCATAAAATTAGATGAAATCAGCCCTTTCTTTGTATGTGAGATACCATAAGATTGTGTTTATGGTATCTTGAATACAAAGGGCTTATTTCATCTAATTTTAAGTCAAGAAAAGAAGGAAGCATATGAAGCAAGATTAAAAAATATGAATATAATGAAAGTGTTTATTTCAGGTTCTGAAAATAAGATTCTCACAAGAATTTCAATAATATATTAAATTAGTGGATATTAGTCTCTGAAAGGTAATTAAATTTGAAAAAGAAATCTTTCATAATATTTATGGAAAAAGCAGGACGTATCTCTGCTACCAAAGCCCTAGTCAGTATTTGAGTGAAAGTGTCTATTTTCTTACAAATTATTGTGTTGAATACTTGCTGTAGCCATTTAAGATTAAAATTTTTGTAATCTTATAAAATAAGTTACTTTATATAGAAGTTGGGGCATGGCAGATAACATCTATTTTAGAAATCTTTGCAACAGAGCATAATCATTAATTCGTATAAAAAATAGCAAAATTAGTTTGAAATTACTAATTATATAAATTCTTCGTGCCATATAAGAAAAAGCCCATAGCTTAACTACCAGAAATCCAAAATTAAATAATTTTGCAGTGAAAAATGATTTATTCTTCTTTGTCAGGATAAACAAGTATGTAATTTTATCAAATAGACAAATTCTATCAAATAGATGTATGGCAGTGTTTCAATAGCACAATGTCTAGAATTATTATTTATTCTTATCTGAACATTTCTGGCCCATAAAATAAAAATGTTTGTCCCTTCATTCTTTCCTACTCAGTAGCATTAATGAAACTCACTGATTTTAAAAAATATATTAAGACAAGTCTAATAGAGTGATAGTAGCAACCACCTCCTATGATCAACACCTTAACCCATTCACGACGGGCACCTCTGTTACCGAAGCGTTCTCTTAGGACGGCACGTTAACCGGATACGTCGTCTTGTGGTGATGGGTAATTCGTGCTGTTAAGCCTAACTTTGGAAAAAAATTTGTCATCCATTTGTTTAAATTTTTGGTACATTATGAGAAGAACAGTCAGGTAGTTGTCAGAATTAATTTTAAATCTTTATTGTTATATTTTCCTTAAAAATTTTATAAAATACTCATTCCAGAAATATATAATTTTTCCTTTATCCCACAATTAAATATATATGGAAAAATATCCAAACAATCGCAGATTTTATTTAACACAACACATAATTAAAATTAAAAAATATTAAAACTGTCTTTCATAAAATTTCAATGTGCAAACAATGAAAAGGAAGCAATATTTCAAAAAAGAGACAGTGTATGATATTCTTTGAAACATATCCACATTGTATGCAAAGTCCAACATTGCAAATGTCTCAGGAATAGAATATCAGCAAATTTGACTCATTTAGCATTTGTGTATTTTCTACGATCAGATAGCGCTTTCGTTTTGCCATTAAAAAAATAGAACACCAGCAATAGAACATTTAAAAAAAAACTTACGCTAAGCCATACACAGTAAGAGCCATCACGGTACTCAACACTAATGAATTAGCATTTGTGTATATTCTTCTATGTTCAAATACCTATATCGCAAAATTAAAAATAAAAAGTACCTCAAAGCATCGAGAACTCGTGCATTTGTTTATATCAAATGATGCAGTTAAAGAGACATTACATTGCTCAACATCCACCCCCGAATCTCCCTCTTATTTCGAAACAAAATACCAAAAATAAAAAACATTGAACAGGAATGGAGGTACACATACTTAACTTTTGATATATTTCCCGATAACAGACATACAGTTACATCTAGTGGCAACAAAAAAATACTAATTAAATGTTCTATCTAAAAAGTCAAATGTGGTATGCCCGGCCATAGAGTGAATTAAATGGCGATTGAAATATGACACACCTGGCCGTGAGGTAATGTTCGCTGCTGATGCACATGACACGCCCGTACTGAACGGGTTAAAAAATTACCATTTTTTAAGCAGAATAATTAAATAAAAGTACTGAATATCACTGTGCAAGCTTTATTTTAATTAACATGCTGTTTTTTTATGTTCAATCTTTCCTGCAGTTGTATTGTTTTGTCTACTTTACCACACATGTACAGGAAGTGAATTTAAACAAGGACTGAGAATCAAAATTCAGCAGAGAGAGTTGGTAGTCTCATTCTGTCATTTTAAAACTCATTAATTTTTTTATTATTATTACTTTAGCACTTTTGATTTGAAGGTAAAGACAGGATGATAAATAATCCGGTAATTCAAAAGGTTAAACTAGTGTTAGATTAAATCAAATAGAGTTACAATTATCACATTCTGTGAGATGATGCCCTTCACAGAAGAGCAGAATGATCTGAAACCATAGGAAAGTTTCAATTCATTATTGCATAATTTTTAAAGGCATTCAACAGAATTAGGGAGCATCTATTGATTAAATTCAATAAAAGTTAAATTTATAATGTGAAATATTCAAAAATATTAAAATCTTTTGAAATGTGTAACAGCTTTATTCATACTTTTGGATCTGGACCTTTGAACAAAATTAATATTTATTTAAAGGCAAATACTTTTTATGTGATATTTATTTTTAAAGCCTCATCTAGCCAAATTAAACAGCAAAAAAGAAATATTGTCTTAGTAAATTGAAATCAAACTGTGAGGTAATTAATTATAATTGTTAGTTCAACTTATTGAAGGTAAAATACTGAAATCATAATAAAAGTTTATTTACAGAATTAATGCTAAAAAATTTAAACCGTATAAAAATATTTAGGTTATATTGTGACTTTTATGTATAGTTAATAATTTGATTGTCTCAAAATATAAATTTGATTTTTAGCTGGTGCTTGTGACAGAATATAAAAGATTGTATATTTTAATGTATTCTATGATTTTTCTAGGGAACTCACAAATCTGAATCTGTTCCTCAAACAATATCAAGTGAAAGAAGTCTTTCCTCTCTAGGAAGTACAACTTCAGATACTTATGAGTTAGCTCCAGAGGAATATCAAGTAATTCTTATATTAGTAACTGTATTTTAGATTTAATTTCCTGCATGAATGACTCATAGGATTTGATTGTTATTAGAAACTGAAGTAGCACAGCATGGATCAAATTACCCAGAAAATAGTAAATTCAGATAGTTTAGAAACGGTGCAAATAATTCCTGGTAAACATTTCATAAACAGAATATTTATTATCTGTGAGAAAAGTTTAGATTTAGTTTGTTTGAATAAGCACACAAGGTTTATCTGTCTAAGGGGAAGACTGCCTTTGTGAAAGACTTTCAGAGGGAAACTGAATGATATTCATATTATACATGGAAAAAACCACAAAAATCAGCCATGCAGCTGACCTATTAACTGGATTTGAACCCAAGATTATACAAAGATTTGAAGATTTTCAGCAATCTTTAAACTTTTGGTCACTGGTCTTGTGTATCCGAGAGGAAAAGGAAGGCATATTGAAAAATAAATCTGTACAAATATTTTAAATTTTCTGCGACTAACAAATTTTGAATCAACATTTATTAGAATATAAATTTACGTTTCAGCTAAGCTTAAAGTTCTAAATGTCAGTTGTTTTTTATAAAGAATGTAGATGCAGTTCAAAAAAGATCTCGATTAAAAAATAAGATTCTGACAAGATTTTTAATTTCTAAAAATGCTTTTTAATGATCTTAAATTTCTAAAAAGTATTGTACTTAATTGCTAAAAAGTATTTTTAGAAATTTGAAATGATATCAAAATCCTGTCTAATGTTTTAAAAAAGACCAGTTAATAAATATGATAAAATTATTAATTACAAAGTTTATAATCTATTTATATCTAAAAAGTACTACATACTAAAGTCTTTAATCCGGACCTCAAAGCTACAAACTTTCTGCGCATGCATAAACACATTGTGCATTTACACATGCACATATGCGTTTATGCATGTGCATAATATGTTTACGCATGCACGTTTAATGTATAACGGATGGTATAAGCTAGGCTAAAATTATCTAATTATCAATTTCAGTTAATGTTGCAGATTGCGTTGTTCCTTAATCTTCTGACTGCATCCGGCTTATTGTTTTTTGCAGACTGTTAGAGCAATTTTATAAAAAGTAAGCTTGAACTTTCGATTATGTCAAAAAGAGTTTCCAATTCTGGAGCTGCCATTCTACTGGTAATTCTGGATCTACAAAGAGAAAGCATGTTTTGATGTCCATTAAACAAAAAGTGGAATTGCTGCAAAAAATGGATACTGGCATGAAGATTGTGACAGAAAGGTGATTTGTTTCTCTAACCATTCCGAAATCTGTTTATCAATTTCACACTGCTCTGCGGAGGAAGGGGGGAAAGTTGCAACGCGCAATGAACTGGAAGTTGATCTGTCAGCACTATCCTCATCTTCAGGGCAGATGTTTATTTTATTCGGCTTATAATTCCTTCCTAAATGTAGTGTTTCATCTCGATGTACTCCGATATGATTTAAATCAATTTCCTCGTCATTAGAAATATCACAAATGCACATCAAATAGTTTTCTGGTTGCAATTTTCTAATTTCGACTATGCGTAATGTATGCTTTATGCATGTGTGCGTTGAAAGAAATGTTTAATAAAATAAATAAAAAAATATTAAGGTGTTTTTTTTTGTAAATTTTGATACCCTTTAGATCATAATTGCTCTTTATTTCATAAATTACGGTTTCATATTTTTAATTGTATAATTTCTGCATGCCATCTTACTGGTTTTAAATTGGTGATCTATAATCCAGAAAAACCCCTAATCCGGAATCGCTGAAGTCCCGATGAGTCCGGATTAAAGACTTTGTACTGTATAGATAGCAATATACAGCGTGTTTCAAAAAGAATGTACATATTTCGAATGCATATATTTATTAAACTGTATGACATATGAAACTTTACACACATATGTACAAACCTCTTAAGTTCAGATTACAGATGTTCAATATGTCCTCCATCAGTGGCACGAACAATATCACATTGATACTCAAATTGGATTAAAGACTTTGTACTGTATAGATAGCAATATACAGCGTGTTTCAAAAAGAATGTACATATTTCGAATGCATATATTTATTAAACTGTATGACATATGAAACTCTACACACATATGTACAAACCTCTCAAGTTCATATTACAGAGTTCAATATGTCCTCCATCACCGACACGAACAATATCACATCGATACTCAAATTCCTTCCCATACTCGGGCACAAGCATTGTCCGTCGTGACTGATGTTATGGACAGTATGGATCCGGTTCTTCACCTTCTTCCAGGTTTCTGTGAGAGTGGTGGTCCATAAATGTTGTCTTTAATGAAACCCTACAGGAAGAAGTCTATGGGTGCCAAATCCGGGTAACCGTCGAGGCCAGCTGAGACATGCTAAGTCTCCAGCTCCTTGATGACCAAGTCCAACGGTTCGGTAGAGTTTCATTCAGATAATCACGCACTTGGCGACACCAGTGAGGGGGTGCCCCATCTTGTTGAAAAATGAAATTGTCTTCATGCAGCCTCGGAAACACCCAATTTTGTAACATAGCAAGCTACTGCTGGCCGTTAACCATGTTTCTGTCAGAGAAGAATGGGCTGTAAACAGATGATCAGGATATCTCACAAAACACATTGATTTTGGGCGAATCTCGTACATGTTCAATGGCTGCATGTGGGTTCTGTAGACCCCAAATTTGAACATTGTGTTTGTTTACATGACCACTAACATGAAAAGTTGCTTTATCACTGAACACGATGCGTTGTGTGAAAGTGTTATCATTGTCAATAGCATCAATAATCTCGTTACAAAATGCTGCATGTTTGTGTTTGTCATCAGGATACAGAGCTTGTTACAAATGTAACTTGTATGTTTTCCTAACCAACCGACATCTCAGAACACGCCAAATTGTTATTGCAGGCAGTTGTAATTCTCGACTTGCATGACAAGTTAATTTTAAGTACTACATCAAAAAGCAGTTTGAATTCGTGCAACATTTTCGTCGAGAACATGAGGGTGGGCCAGGAATCTTTCTTTTACATACACATCCTGTATTTACGAACTGTTGATACCATCTGGGAATGTTCCACTCATACGGAGGATCACTTTGGTACCTCAACTTGAAACGTCTTTGCATTGTAATCACGGAATTGCACTTCACAAACTCAAGAGCACAAAAGGATTTCTGCTGCAGAGTAGCCATTTTACATGTGATGGTTACCACGCAAAACAGAAGACAACTGACATCTAGCAGCTATTAATATAAACTATGTATTTGTTTCGCCAATAGCCGAGCCGAGACACAGTGATCAATAGTTTGGACAAAATAAAAGTTTCTAATGCGTATATTCTTTTTGAAACATGGTGTATATGAAATTTACTAAATTGCAACATGGCAAAATAATTGTATACATATTATATCAAACAAATATCTGCAGTTATTCATGCAACTTGTAGCTATATCTAACATTATTAATTATGTATGTCAGCAAAATGCAGAAGATTTTCTTCTATCTTTCTTTCTTTTTTATTGATGTAAACACTGAGCAACTTTTACAGGGAACTGAAAGCTCAGAATTACTTCCTCAAGGAATGGCAATTGAAGAAGAAAATTCATCTACTTCTGAAAGAATACCTTCAGATAGTAATGAGTTAACATCATAAGGACTCGTGTACCTTTCCTTTTTATTTCTTCTGTTTTACAAATTTATTAAATTTACTTATTTATGGCTATTATGTAAGTTTCAGTTAATTAGTTTTCATTTCTATTTGCATCAACAGATTTTGATATTTTCTTGTGTTCTTAAAACAGTCATGATCTTACATTCATTGATTCAGTATCTGCAGTTTAAAACAAAACTCACCCCCCCCCCAACAAATCAAAGTCAATAACATATTAAAGCATAGTAGCTAAAAATACCTAATACTATCATTTGGTATCAGCAATTATATATTTGGTGCAATATATATTATATATTGGTTCATATTATATATTAATTACATGCATTACATGTGTGTTTGGGCATGAAATCATCCAAATATGCAGAAATAAATGCATCTTCATGTTTTTAATAAATTTCTGTTACTTTCAGCATAATTTTCTCTGCGGAATCTTAATTTTCCAGTGTACATTTTAATTGTATCTTCATAGTGCTCCATACCAGGCATTATAATTTGACAAAAATTTTTAGTATAAAGGATGGCAAAGCAGTTATCTCATTTATGTTTCTTAAATTTAAAAAAAAAAAATCTGTGTTTTTAATATAAAAATTACTATTGATGCTATTATAGTCCTGTAATACTTTATTATACTATGTAATACTATAATTAACAATTACTATTATAGTCCTGTAATACTTTTCATTTGATTTCTTCCCTTTTATTAACTAAAGTCTTAGATTTTAGAAATTAGCTGTTAAATTCATTTTCTGAAAGAAATTTAAAATTTTACCCACCCCCAATGACATAGCTTTCTTTTCAGTCCCCCCCTTCCATCTTAAGAAAATTCTTTTGGAATGTTTTAGAAAGAGAACTTCTGTTTTCAAAATGATTTACTAAATTCTTTACTCTAATTCTTAAATTTGCTTTCTTGGGGAAAACAGTCCACTCCTGATTAACAGTGCCCTGCCTTTAAAAAAATGCTGTATTTGTTTATTGTGGAATGATGGAAAAAGTCTTATCACAAATCATTGATATAAAATAAAAATACAAAAAGTTTTATGGAGAAATAAAAAGGAAAGGATAGAAGAAAAAATGCTTGGGATTACAATAGTGATAGCAGATGATGTCTATCAGATTACCTGTATCAAAGAAATGTTCTAACTATCCCCTTCCCCCCCCCTTTTTTTGGTGAGTTTGAACCCATTGATGTTCTCCAAGTTATTGTAAAGAGTATTTTTTAATACCTTTTATACTATAGTTTCTTCATTTCCAATCAGGTTCAGTTTTCCATTATTTGTCGTATATGCTTTTTAATGCGGTTTTAATTTACATAACCAAATGAATTTATTCTCCAGGTAAGACTACATGAAAATACAGATAAATTTTTATTAGTATTTTTCTGTTCGTTAAGACTACATGAAGATACAGATACATTTTTACTAGTATTTTTCTGTCAGTTATGGTATGAGTTATTCCTCATTTCTGTGTTTTTTAGCTGCCCTCGGATTAACTGTGATCTTAAAACATTGTCTCTCATATTTCTGTATTAAAGAGGTAGTTACAGGGTTGCCACGCTACCTGGAAAACCGGGAGAACCGGGAAAAGTCAGGGAATTCGAAAATTGATCAAAATATTCAGGGAAAAGTCAGGGAATTTAAGTATTTTTGTCAAAATCTGGAAAAGTCAGGGAAGTTCATACAACGATCCCCCAAAAAAAGCGATTTTTGCGCCGACGTCGGAAGAGATAACTTTTTTGGCGAATTATGTATCACGTGAGTGTCATTCGGGTAGCTGGCATAGAGCCAATTTTCGCAGCTCCAATTTGATTGTCTTTTAGAAAGGCAAAGCAACTTTCCCGCAAGTTTTGCTTTCCAGTATTCTCGAGAATCGCATGTGCAGTGCATGAATTAAAGAAAGTACCTGTTCTCGTATAAAACAAAATGGGTTTAATCCTAGTATACGGTACCATGGAGGTTAGAATCAAAGAATATGTATTGTAAAGAAGGAAAACCTCTCTGCAACAGACGTGGCTGTGGCTCCGTTCCATCATAGAGGGAAACAGCTGTGCATGTCTGATATATCTGTCGCCAAAGCTCGAAACCGGTGTCGAAGTTCGAAGGTCACGTTATCAAGAGTTCATAAAATGAATATCGTTTAAAATTTCTTTAACCATTTGCGCTAAAAAGACGTGCCGAGATGCTTTTGTCTCAAACCGCGAGCGACGTTAACACCACGTCGATAAGCATTTATCGCAAAAATGAAAATAACGTGGTGCACACGTCGCCTAACAACGAGATTGTTTATTTCTCGAGTTACAGCTCTGGATTGCACTCGCAGATGCGGAGCGGCGTAAATGAGACACTTTACCGCTTGTTATATTGTAGCGCATGGCACCGCAACCGTGAAGTTTAGTCTTAGCGCAAGTGGTTAAACTCTAAAGGAAAAATATCTTTTGATGCAAGTAAATTAATTCATGGATTAGTTATTTTCAGGAAAAAAAAACTACGAAAATCCGTTTTTAAAATTATTGCGAAAAATCCAAGAAGAAACGCCCTTTGATAAAACGTTTCTTCTTGGATTTTTCGCAATAATTTAAAAACGGATTTTCGTAGTTTTCTTTTTGTCGAAGAGCGTTTCTTGTTAACACGTGTTTCTCAATTTCCTGTACACATCGCGGAGAGGGAAATTCTGGCCGCCAGGTTCCGTCGCCAAATCCCTTGGCAAATTTTCCCTCCGCATTCTAGCGGCGTAATAGCATTTTGCTTGTATGGAACCTTTTCTTCTTTACATAGACGTTCTTTGGTTAGAATAATAATAAGATTTGGCGACATCATGATGCGCAGTAAACGGGTCATTTTGGTCTTGGCGACAATTTTCAAAATCGTGCCAAAGCCTTACCGTGTACTAGAATTTTACCGCAAAATCTTTTTAAACCTTTTTTTTTTTCTTTTTAATAAATACCTTGCCATTTTGCAGTAAAATAAAAAAATAGTAATCAGTAATCTAGGCTAGCCATGTAATATAACTATATTCGCTAAAATATCGTTGATTATTATAATTCAATTTTTAAGTAATTATTTTTATGTTATTTATATAATTTAATGTTGCTTCTTCCCTCTAAATTTATGTATTATTAGTAAATAATATTTCCAAATTTCAGGAAATTTTCTCTGGCATAATCCTGAAATTAATTATAGCAGTATGATGACATACCATCACGAAATTTAATGCACATATTTTTTCCTTATGTATGCTGCGAAATTAATATAAAATACCTCAATTTATTAAAATAGATTTCTTTCTTTCGTTTAGCTGCAGAATGTCTGCAAAAAAAGCCTTATTTTATTCCAGATTGGGAAGATTCTAATCTCAATCTTCAGTGGAGAAAAAAAAAACTATTATAATTATATTTGTGTTTTCAAGTGTTAAGGTGCCTTTTAAGAACATACCTCACGCAAATTAAATTTACCTAAAATCTAACCTAACTATTTAGCATTGCGTTGTGATTTATAAGGACCGGATTAGCCTCGTGTTGAACTGGTGATGATCATGAGTATTAATTAAATAAAACATACATTTGTTATCCAATGTATATATCTTAAATTTTATTAAGTTTCTTAAGTGTAAAACTAAACAAAATTATCAAAGTATACCAAGAATAATTAAGAATAAATGTCCTCTGGGATTTATTGAATAATTAAGTGAATTTGCTACACAATACAAGTAATACCATAATTAATTTACCTCTTAGCACAGCCAACGTACATTAACAGTTAACTAAGTTAACTGTTAAGTTCTTTTATTCTAGATAGTCTCTTGAGCTTACAGTATTTGTTAGTTACATCGAGAGCTGAAGAAGAAAAGTTCTTTACCAAAAGGGGAAAAAATCCTAAAACATTAAGAATTCAAAAATGAACTTTTCTTGCTCGGTTTCTTTTTTTAAGATATATACTCCATACAGCATGTATTGCTAAAATATGTATGATACTAATTAAAGCAGGAAAAAAACTTGAGCATTTGATCATATTAAGTTATTGTCAGTCTGAGGTGATACTCTTGGAGAAGCATCTTGATAATTCTGGAAACTTAAGACTTCTCATGCTTTGATTAGTGTCATTTGTATTTCAGTAATTTGTTCTACATTCAGTACTTGCTTTCCAGTTGGGGTTTTATTATCTGTTACTACACATTTCATAATTAATCCTTCCTCCCCATTCTTATGATTTTTTAAAAAATTCTGTTATAGGAAACTCCTGAATCAATAGAAGATTTTGAATAATTAGTTAGCTGTTGCAGAAGCGATATAATCTATTTAAGAATATTAAATTTCTAGTTTTTATCCAGAAATTAAGTTCTTATTGTATAAGCATATTTTGTCCATCAGTTTTTCTATATTTCATATAACATATCACTGTCATTTCATTAAATTTAATTTTCCATTATTATATATTTCACACGCATATATTAGTCTTTTATTTGGCATTTTGTTATAGTCTGGATTGGCTTAGACCCAAATTTTCTATTTCATTAAACAAAATTTCTAGAATTTTAGTTTAGGCAATAAAAAAAGAAAAATCTAAAATTAAATTGATGTATTTTTCATTGGAAACTTACAGATGTTGTATACAAAAATATATGAAAGTCCGTAGCATAAGAAAAATTTACACTAGTGTCGAAATAGTTAGGAATACTCTAGTTTTTCATGGGACTGATTCATGTTGAGAGAATAATGGCATAAGTATTTTTCTAACCTTTTCCAAGTGTAACTTAAATATACAAACTATTTTTCTGCAAAAAATCCTTCACAGAAACATCTTTCCTGATCAGATATACTTTACATGCTTTTTCTATAGTTAGCTGTCTTCTTGCCTTGGCTTAAATTCAGCTGTAGCGTAGTTCTGGTTAAATTCCAGCCCCAAATAAAATTTAACTCTTTATTTAATTAATTTTATTTATCTGCTTATGTCTTATGTAACTGTTTTATTATTATTATTATTTATTTATTTATTTTCTGACAGTCTCCTATAGAGTTAAAAAACTTCTGATTTTAGAACAATGTTTTTGTCTTTG